GGTGGATCCTCTGTGGATTCACGATACTTTAAAGCGGCTAGCTTGCTGACTGGACGCCGAATAACTCCATGAGATGTCTGTATCGCTGCGCTTCGAATTCGGCTATCTCTTCCAGGGAACACTTCCACCACCCTTCCCATCTCCCAGCGGCTTCTAGGCAATGCGGGGTCACATACTATTACGAGCTGGTCCAGCTGGAGGGGATCGGTTTCCTCGGTCCATTTGGGACGACACAGCAGCTGTGGCAAGTACTCCACCATCCATCGCTTCCAAATCCGGTCTTTGAGATTTTGGGCAATCTTCCATTGTTTTCGTGGACAGATGTGCCTCTCATCCAAGCTGGGTGTTTGCGTTGAGTTCGTACATCCAAATAAAAAGTGGTTTGGAGTGAGTGGTTCTTCGTCATGTGGGCTGACCGGTATTTCAGTTAGGGGTCGGCTGTTCACAATATTTTCTGCTTCTATTAGGGCACTTCGAAGTGTTTCTACTCGAGGAGCTTCTTCCTTCAACACTCGTTGCAAAAGTTTCTTAACGCATTGTATTAAGCGTTCCCAGCAACCACCGGCATTGGGATTGGCTGGACAATTGAATCGCCATTCAATGTTATGTTTAGTCATCTCTTGGTCGATGCGCTCAAAGTCAAACAATTTGTATTCGGACCTCATCTCCCGCTGTGCACCCACAAAATTGGTGCCGTTGTCGCTTCTTATCCGCACAGGGACCCCGCGACGGTTGATGAAGTTCCGTAGGCAGATGACGAATGAATCTGTGGAGAGGTCTTCTGCTACCTCTAGATGGATAGCTCTTGTCGTCATGCAGGTAAATAAGGCCACCCAACGTTTCTCGGTTCTACGGCCAATAGTAACCAAAAATGGTCCGCAGTAATCCACGCCAGCATACGAAAACGGACGCACAAAGGGAGTCAAGCGATCCGTCGGTAGTTGTCCCATCAGCGGCACAGCAGGTTTAGCAGTCCAGCGGATGCATATTGGACAAGCTCGTTTGATTGATTGTAATAATTTTCGCGCGGATGGCACCCAATACTTCTGGCGCATTTCATTGATGACTAGGTGATCGTTTTGATGGTGTCTTCTTGCGTGGAACTGTTGCATGATAAGGCGTGTTACGTAGTGCTTTTGTGGTAGTATAATGGGGCGTCTGGCTGACAACGGTAGACAGTAGGCAGCATCAATTCGTCCGCTGACTCTTATGAGGTCGTCCTCATCAATAAATGGTGTAAGTTTGTGGAGGCAGCTACTCTTCGGCAGTGGTTGGTTCGCCCTCAATACTGACGCTTCGGACGGAAAACATTCGTGCTGGATGCGGCGGCAAATATACTTTTCAGCTCCTCTTACTTCGGCAGGTGTTAGCTCCCCTACTTGGCGACTGTGACTGCGAACGTTACTGATAAAGCGCAATGTCCAAGCCACGATTCTGGTGATCTTTAAAAATGAGGAATAATTAGTGAATTTGAATAAATCACCTGTTACAGTTGACAGCAAAATTCGAACTGGCGTTTCTTCCGATCCGTAATCTGGTGAATAAAGTTGGGCTGGTTCGTCTGGCCATTCCCTTTCACCAAGCTGCAGAAACTCAGGCCCCACGAACCATCGATGTGAAGAGCATTTTGTAAGCGTTGCCCGTGTTGCATCGTCTGCTACATTGGCGTGTGATGGTAACCAGCGCCACATGTCACTGGTCGTTGTTGTCAAAATTTCGGCGATTCGGTGCTCAACGAAAGGTTTGTATTTACGCTCGCTTGAACGTATCCACATTATCACCGTTTGGGAATCGCTCCAGAATATAAGACGGTGGATGCGGAAGTTCTGGCTCTGCTCTATGAATGTTTTGAGGCGACACCCCAGGATAGCGGCCTGGAGTTCTAGGCGTGGAATCGTCATTCCTTTTACAGGAGCACAGCGAGATTTGGCGCAGATGAATGCAACGTGCACTTTATTTCCTTGTCGCATTCGCAGATAGGCCACGGCGGCATACGCTGTGGAGCTTGCGTCTACGAAAATGTGGAGTTGTACTTCCTGGGCGATCGGCAACAGCTTTCCATAACATCGTGGTATCGAAAGAGTTTTGATGGTTTTAAAATTGGACCACCATGTTGACCATGAGTTGCTGAGGTGATTAGGCAAGTGCTCGTCCCACTGGATCTTCTGCTTCCACATGGCTTGTATCAACAGTTTTCCGGCAATTGTTATGCAGGCGAGAAACCCAAATGGATCGTAGATCGACATCACGATCGCGAGTAATTCTCGCTTTGTAGGTGGGCGTATACACTGAAGTATTTCTGGCGCAATTCTGCAAAACTTAAAATGAAAGATAGGTTTGAGATCTTTCTCTGAGTTCCAGTACATGCCCAATATTTTGTCCACGTTTGCTTGCTTCTCCATGCTTATGATAGCGGCATTTGGGTTATCGTTACCATTCAGACGTTTTTGCAGGTCTTTACTATTGGAGACGAAATTCCTCAACTTAAACCCACCGGCTGCGTTTATGAGGATTGCCTCTTGGGCGACGGTTTCGGCTTCCTTCTCTGAATGGAAACTTATCACCAAGTCATCCACGTAAGTATTTCTCATGACCGCATCTACTCCCTTTGGCATCGTTGACGCAAACTGCAATGCATTTATATTTTTTAAGTGCTCAGCACAACACGGAGAGCAAGCTGCACCAAAAATCATCGAAGTCATCACAAAAACACGTATTTGTTCGGAGTCTTTGCCGTTCCTCCATAGGAACCCTTTGAGCGTGCTGATCGGCTGCTCTAATTTTGACTCGTGAGAACATTTCTTCGATATCTCCCGCAACGGCTCCTTCACGAAATCGATGCAGAATGGCAAAGAGCGACTGTGCCTGGTCTGGACCCTTGAGCAACTCCGAGTTGAGCGACGTATAGGACGACACTGCAGCCGCGTCAAAAACAATGCGGAGTTTCCCCGGTTTGTGTGGATTCGTTACGCCAAAATGAGGGAGATACCAAGTTTTGCGGAGTTGCTATCGACTTCGGCTGCGGATAGCTCTTTTGCATAGCCCTTCTCTATGTAACTCGTCATCCCTTTAATGTAGTTTTCAGCAAATATTGTATTTTTCTTCATCTTGTTTTCTATGGAATGCAAACGTCTCTTGGCCATGTCGTAGCTCGGGGGAAATCTAAAGTCATCTCGTTTCCACAACAAACCGATCTCGTATCTGTCACCAATCTTTACCGTGGTCGATTTTAGAATGGCCTTTGCCCGAATGTCATCGTCACCTTCGGTAATTGCAGCTTTCACACCCAGGTTTTCTTGTGTTAAGTACTCTTCGACCATAGCGCACGTTTTCTTCGATAGGGGTGGTTCTTTTATCATAAACACCCTCGGTCTGCTGGTTTCCAGTTTGTCGATTGGGCCATACGCCAACCAACCCAGTTTTGTTTTTGCAGCAATTAACTGATTCGGCCCGCTGGTAATTGATTGTTTGGCAATACCGAGGAAGCTGTTGTCCAAACCCAAGAGTAACGTTGGCTTCGCAGCGCTGTAACTGGCGACAGGTAAATTACGAAAATAGAGATGTTTTTCAAACGATTGCTCTGGCAGGTTTAGACTTTTAACTGTCCGAACGTTCTTCAGGGGAAATACAATGCCACCATGACTCGCCTGTACTTCCAGCGATACCATGCGAGATCTCTCGGTTGCTGCGTTCTCGCCGTACCATTGTAGCGTAAGTAATGACGACTGGCCATTCAACCCCAGCTGGTTCGCGACGTCTTCCTCCAATAGTGAGATCGAAGAACCTTCGTCGAACATGGCATGTGTTTGCAAGTGGCCTTTCGGTCCGCGCAGTATAACGGGTATAATTTTAAATAATATGGAACGGCACTCATCTTGGCAACTTAAGACGACTTCCGTATTATTTGCGGCAGCTGATGTGGATGTAGGCATGTTCAATGGTGCATGCAGTAATCGGTGATGTACTCGTTGGCAACCTTCTATATTACACGCCTTCTTCTTACGGCAGCTTTGTAAATTATGTCCCCCTTGCAGGCATGCGAAGCAGAGACGTTGACGTTTCACAAGCGCCCATCGATTGTCCACATTGCGTGACTTGAAATGGTGGCAGTCTTCCAGTGTGTGCGACTGGTTACATGACACACATATCGGCTTCTGCTGTTGACTTGAGTTACCATCGCTACTGTGTAAAAAACGGCGGGAATTGGCAACCCTGTGACCTTCTCTGTGTATAACTCTGGATGATGTTGACATTGTACTCCTGTCAGGTATTTTTGGCATAATGGCGATGATTTTGGCTAAATTACCAATCCATTCGGCGAAAGTATCTACGGTTGCAAATGGTGACACCGTAGATGCGTGCTTACTCCACTGGAACTGTTTCGAGGGCGGTAGCTTGGAAATAAGCTGATCCAGCAAAGTCGGATTTACCAGGTGCTGCTCACACTTGGCTGATTTAAAAAATGCTGTTATATTACGCACCTCACTGGAGAGCGCCAAGACTTTTTCGAGATGGTTCTCCGCTATGCTTGGAAATTGTTCCACCTTATGCAGCTGTGAACGAATCAGCAGCTCTGGGCGCCCGAAATTGAATCTTAGTTCGCTTATTATATCCCCAACGTTTTCAGGAAATATAAGAAGCGATGTTACTGACCGTTTAGCATCGCCCTTCAAAGCCTTCTGTAAACGCATAAGGTTTTGGCGATCGCTGTAGTTAAATTCTCGCGTTGTGTCAACGTAACTGGCAAAAAAGAGAGGCCAATCCTCGGGATTGCCATCAAACTCTGGTAGTGGATATAATTTGGCGGCGTATAATGCGGCCGATTCGATGCCATAAGGCGCAGGCGGTGTTGGTTGAAGTGGTGCAAACGCATGAGGGTGCTGCGGCACAAATGCATGCGTCGACGGCTGATGCGACACACTTGCTGGTATACGAAACGATGACTGATGCAACGCGGTTGCTGAAACATTTAGTTGATGCGGCTCTGCGGTCGGAGCATGTGGCGATGGTTGATGCAACGCATACGCTGGTCTACCCAATGACTGTTCATGAGGCGCAGGTGCATGTAGTTGATGTGGCACTGACGAAGCGCGTGATGCATTGACAAATAGGTCTGAGTTGGCATGCAAATGCATCGTTGAAGTTAAAGGCGGCTGTGCTGTGAATGTAGGTTGCACCCCTGTTAATGTCGGGGGCAGCGCTGCTGGTGTCGTGGCCAACGTATATAACGGTGGAACTACCGGACTATGTTCCATTATAGGTGCCCCATTGTCTATTGTTGTGACGACTGCACCTCGTGGCGCTGGCCATGAAACTGTTTGAGTGGCAAATGTGACCCCTGTTATCGGCTGTGGCATCAATCTTGATGCTGTTGCTGTTACCGTTGATGGTCGAAGTGCGGCGTTTTCCAAACTGCTGGATTCGGAACCAAAACGATCACGGAGTTCTTGCGTTTCGTTGCGGAGCTCCTTGAAACATTCATTTAGCGACGCAATGCTGGCTACTATCGCTGCTAGTTGGCTGGTTACACCTGTTGTTAACTGCTCGGCAGAGGCAGGTGGTGCAACTTCATTTTCTACAATTGTATTGTCTGCAATGCTGAAGGGTTCGTCGGCTTCGTCCACTTCTTCATTGCCAGTCCCACTACGCGATCTCGTCATCATTTTATAAAAACTTTATATTTGCACGTTGGCAAACTGCACGGAAGACTTCAGGAAAAATTTTACAGCAAATTGCACGGCAGACTTCAGGCAAAATTTTACGGCAAATTGCACGGTAGACTTCAGGTAAAATTTCACGGCAAATTGCACGGTAGACTTCAGGCAAAAAATTTCACGGTTGTTCACGAGAGTTTATTTTAATAAAAACGTAGATCGTACAAATGAC